TGTGAACTGTGCCTCTGTTGCTTGCATGCATCTGGGATAACCAGACTCACTGGAGTAACTGAGGTTTAGCACCTCACTGGAGGAGTTGACAAAATGAAGTAGAAAATACAGGGAAAGTATTGTGAGGGAAGAACTGCAGTCACAGGGAAGGGAAATGATCTCCAGGATCATACCTCAAACACAACTCCTTGCTAGGACACCTGGAAGATCTCCTGCCCTAAGGCATCCAGCTCCCAGGGGCAGGTGGGTGTTTGCCTGACAGCTCTGTCTGTACAGAATTCCTGTACACACCCCTCTGCAAGGCAGCTCACACTCCTGCCTGTGGGCTGCTTGCAGCTTGTCAGATATTTAATGATACCACAATGAGAGCAATTGTACAGCAGGATATAACACAGAGTTTGACTTTTCAGTTATAAACCTTGGAGGGACAAAGAGGAGCAGCAAGCCAAGTGATTTTTACATTTTCCTTTTAGTGATCTGAAAAGAAGTAGCAGGAATTCCAGCAGCAAACACATCTGCCTGCAGCTGTCACTGCAGCACCTCCAGATTTTATTACCTGCATATAGTATAAACTACTTACTGAAGTGTTTTTGCTTAAACAAAGTGGTCCAGCCAATGATCTTTCCCTCATTTTCAGATTGTTGGTCAGAAGTTTGAAAACACGCTGAAAACTTGTTTATAAAACACGGCAGGAAACAGAAGTGCTGCAGAGAGGCTCACGGTGTGTGTGGGGCTTGGGTTATGGTGCTGTGGACTGTTCTTGTGAAGTGGTTGAGAACTCAGGACTGGTTCAGTCTGGTTGGTAGCTGAGCTTTACTTCTAAAAGCTTTCTAAGACCCCCAGATCTGTTTGGAACTGGTTTTGCCTTCTTTCATTACTGCTGTTCCCCCTTCTCTGGTAGACATGAGCATCTTCCCATCTTATGTAACACAGATTTTCTTGGAAGAATGCGTGTTCCCTGAAAACCTCAAACAGCCAAGATGATTTATGGGTCTATAAGAAAATAGGCCACCGAAACACTTCAGTTCTTCCAATCTCCAAATCAGAAAGAGACTGAAATAATAAAGATTGTAAATGTTGTTTATTCTGAAACTGTGGGGTGAAAAAATCAGGTTAAACCAGCTTAGCCCAAACAACGTTCTCAGTGTTCTCTTTCTGGTGCTCAGTAGAAGTTTGGGAGAAGGGGGATGAAAGGGAACGCCAAAGGAATGGTTGATATCTCTGAGAGCCAAAGGAATGGTGATTATCTCTGTGTTCTAAACAGACTGGTGAGCTCCCAGTGAGGTGAGCTGGTCAGTGGCAGAGGGATTCAGGAGCAGGTACAATTTAGCTGTTCAGTTTTGATTCCTGTCCTGCTGTCAGACACATATGAGAGGATGTGAGCCTGTAGCACTGGGCATATGAAGATATTATCTCTGCTCCCCTGCCCGAGGAGAAGCAGAAGACAATGGACAGCACACAGTACCACAGTGTCTCATTATAGAAAGAGTCACAAAACTTATTTGTGCAAGCATCTCCTTGGTATTTACAGCACATTCAATGCCAGTCATTTTGCCCTCTTTTTGTGTTGATAATGGAGAAGTTATTACTTGCAAGCTGTGAGAGTTTTGATAGCAGTCTTCAAGTCAATTGTTGTTTTAGTTAAACAGACTGTTGGTGGTTGTTTTTACTGTTTCTATCCTACAAAGATAATTTTATTTAGAGAAATCTATCTTGTACACAGTGTGCTGGGCCTCTTCACCTTTTCTCTGCAGAAAATACATGGGAAGGTATCAAGGGGACCTAGGGGGAATTTCAAATTACAAAGACAAAACTATTGCTGCAATAGATTGTGCAATATGGAAATTGATCATCCTACTGGATGCTGAATTTTTTGTTGACTCAGGATTAAATGTATGGAAGGATTTTAGAGTTTTCTAATTCAATAGTGTTCATCTTGGTTACTGTCTGTAAACATTTTGCAATAAAATCATAATTTGAAACTTCCCAACTCTTCATATGTTAAAAGAATGGTGATTTTGTTCTATGTCTTGCCACCTGCTGTTCTCTTCTGTGGTAAAGTACATTGGTAACTATGGGAACAAAAACTTAAGAACAGACACCCACATGTGTTGAAGTTGATTTATAGAAGGTCTTGAAGTGATGCCACGGATTGTGAGAGATGGAGCTCTCTGGATGGAGTTTAATGGCTTTCAAGGAGGGCTCAGTGTTCAACTTTCAGAAGTTATTTAGAACATCTCTGATGTTGTGGATGTTCCATTCTCCACTTAACCGTGGTGTAACATGGTTGTGTTGCATTTCCCAGCTGGTTCACTCAGTCCCCAGCAGTGGTAACACTCCTCCCCTGTGCTGGGCAACAAGATCTCTGTTATTTCTGGCAGGAAATAGGTCTTAGAAGGTGATAAAATGTGGCAGCTGGAGCCTTGGGATGAAGGATGTATGTGTAGGTGAATGTGTAGTCCAATTATAATGTAGCTGTGCTATCAGCTTGGGTGCTTTGTGCTGTATCTCTGGAAGATCTCTGGTCCTTTCCAGCCAGCCAGGATGGGGCTGTGGCCCTGGCAGAGGTTTGGGATGGCTCAGGATCCTGTAGGGACACTGCAGCCACACACAAAGGGCAGATCTTTGTCAGGTCATGGCTCAGCTCCTCGGACCAGGGTCAGCTGCTCAGTGGCAGCACTCTGGGCCTCCTCTGCTTATCTGGGAAAGTAGGAATTGAGAAAAGTCCTGGCCCCTTTTAGTCCCTTCTTAGGACTTTAAACCCTTGTGATGTGACAGCACCACACCACAAGTCACTCTTCTGCTCTGTTTGGTAGAGCTGGAGAGCTGGGAATGGAGGATGAAGGAATTAGGGCATGCTATGCTTTGTGTGATATGGAACTGACAACGGGGTAGGCTTGCTCCATGCCAGCACTGTGCTCTCCAAACTGGAGTGCTGGTGACCTTTCCCAGTCACATGTGAACTTCTGGTGTGAATCAGAATCCACAAATCCAGACAAAAGTTCATCATTGATTTCAAGAGTCAGTGGATTGTCTTTGCACAGAGAAATTTCCTGGATTAGGCTAGACATTACTTAGAATAAGAGAATCTTTTAATGTAAAATGCTTTGGTCTCAATGATAGCACAGTCTGTGTTCTCTTTATTTCAAAAAATTTGCATGTGTTGTGAAGGCATTCAAATGTTTCTCTGATGTTTGTTCTGTGACCCTGTTCTAACTGCACAGCAAAAAAGTCCCAGAGAAACAAAATATTTCATTTTATGAAATTGATATCATATAGTAATTAGGTATGATACTGAATCTCTAATGGTCTCAGATGGGAGTATATTTTTCTTCTAAAGAAAGCATAGCCTGGTGAAGCAACAAGCTTTGCTCAATTTGATGGGGTAATTAGTGAATTAGTTGATCATCCTTAGCTGTTATCTTTAAATTTGCTCTGTCTCTCGATCAGATTTTGAGGAATAGGTAGTGTTGAATGGGAGGTTTGTTCCTAGCAGTAATTGAGCCTGCCCTGCAGTGTGAAGATTTCCTCCCTTGGGATTCCCAGAGAAGCTGTCTGACAGGCACTTTCTGGGCCTCAGCACTTGCCCATCTTCTCCCTTCTCATATGAGAGGAGATTTGTTGATAACCTGCACTTGCCAACAGGAAATAAGAACTGAAATGAGAGTTACTTTTAGGATAGACCTAGCACATTCTCTGCAGTTTTTGCCCTGATAAGCCTGTGTTAAAGCACAGTGGCTGCAAGAGGAATTACCCAAATGTAACGTGGTGTAAATACATGAGGCCCCAGAGGCTCCTGCAGTAAGTGCTCCTCAAGTGCTTCTGGATGGGTTGTTCAGGAGATGAGACCTCAGGGGACAGAGCTAGTGCTGAAAGCCACTAAGCAAATAGGATAATGTTTTATTGAAAGCAAACCTGAGCCAAATCCTGGAGCCATTCCTTAGATGGCAATGACCACGGGATTCATGCCTAAATGAAAACTGCAGAGGGTTGTGTCAGATCTTGCAAAGATCTTGATCTTTCTGCAATAGCGACTAAAATCTGAAAAGCAAAGATGATGGAGGATGGAAACAGCAGGAGAATCCAGCTGCAGCAGCTGGGAACATGGACAAGAGTCAACATTCCCAGTGTGGAGAGCCTGAGTGGGGTGGGAGAAAGTGACTCTGTGAGCATTCCACAGCACACCTCGTGCTGAGGTGGGTCAGGATGAGGAGGTACAAGGCGAGAGGGCAACATCAAACAGCACAAACAGACTGGCTTCAGTTCCTGCAGCCAGAGGGGGAGAGGATCAGAGCAGCCCTGCCTGATGGACCTGTGTGAGGGCACTGCCTGCTGTTGGCAGGGTACTGGGATCCTGCCTACCCCGTCCCCCAGCAGCAGATTTCTTTCCTAGAAGGGAGACTAACTTTTCCCAGTCCTTTATCAGTCCTGCTTAATTAGATTTCAAGTCCTCAAAGGAACAAATTGTTTTATCCAGTGTATTTCAGTGGCATGTAGGAGGGGCAGGAACTATTCCTGGCTGGAATTTTTAGGCAGCACCCTCATACTAAGATGCTGAAGTTCTTCTCCAGGATTTAGACAGAACTTAAAGGTCTGTGTCTGTCTTCATCTGCATTGTGCTTTGAGACACAGACTACAATAATGTGCATTGTTTCCTAGCCATATCCCATTAATTCTGCATTAATATTTCCTTGCAAGTTAAAAAGGTGGGAAATGTATCATCTTTGCCAAGAAATGGAATTAGAAAGAAATCCAAAAAGAACAGCTTGCCTATTTTTATCAGTAGCTGTAGACTTGCTTTTTAAACTTAAGCAAGTCTGGGAGGATCCCATAACAATGTGTAGGATGCTGAATGGACACAGGGGAGGCATTAACATAAAAATGAGGTTTTTGGTTTTTTTTTCCCCTTCTTACTTGAAGTAGCACCTCACTGACATTTGCTGCCTACTGCAACACATCCCAGAGGAATAAAAAGTGAATTATACTCTGTGCTTCTTTGCTGACATCCACAAGTTTTTCCTTCAGCTCTTTTCCAAAGGAGTAAAGCAAAAGCCATCCCCACATCCTGCCTGGGAGCAGGGAGGCAAAGAGTTAAGGAACAGTTATCCCAGGTGGCTGAACACTTGAGTTGCAGGGAAAGGCTGGGAACATTCATTGAGCTCCTGCGCTGGCTTCTACCTGCCAGCAGCTCCTGATGCACCCCTGCACAGGGAATAAAGGCTGAGCCTGCTCAGAGCACAGGCAGCAGGCATCCCTAGGAGCCCTCGGATGCTGCAGTGAAACCACAGGCAATGCTCTTTTCCTCATTCTTTACAAGAGTCTTTTGAAAGATCAGGGATGTGCATATGGTCTTTGCTGCTTCCTCTGGTGTTTTTACTTGAATCTCTCACTGGAATATGGATGATGCAAGCACAATTAAATGCCTCAGTCCAGAAAAAGGTAAGGGGAGAAATGTTTTTTTTTAACCACCTTTCTGAGGGAAATGAGTTTTACTGTAAAGTGTAGTTTACAGAGCTTCCTTGGACACTTCTTTTCTGTTATTCAAACTTAAATGCTTTAAACAAATACAGCAGGTTCTTAAGGGAGCTTTTGCTGTACCTTTGCCTCCTACTATCACTAAAGCTTAAATAATAAATGTATCTCTAATGGCTGTTTCCTCCTGCATAAAGTGTGCAACGAAGGAGTGCACCAGGTATGTTCATGTTCCTTTTCTGCTTGCTTAACTAGCTGCTGTCACCATAAGAAAGGCTTTCTATTTTTAACCTGAGACCTTCTGCTACCCACATTAGAAGAGAGAAAAGAGACTCCAGTACTATTGTGAGTCAGCTGTATTGTTTTAATTTTTTAAAACAGGTGATTTGCTACTCCTTAGATGTAGTTTCTTTACACCCATCCAACAAGAAGAGTGCACAGAATCAGTTGGGGTTGAAGTTTTCCCTGGTGGGATTAAACCAGGGGTGAAGTCAGGGAAGTGCCTCGAGCTGGGAAAACTGTGCTGCAGTGTCCTGCATGCTGAACTTGGAGCTCATCCCTCCTGTACTGATGGCTGCTGAAGGAATCTATGAAACTCAAGACCAATTTTCAAAAGCCCAGTTTTTATTTTTAAAAGCTTTATTTCCTCATTGATTTACTCAGGAGAAGCCTGGAGAGAGAAACCCTTCCCTGTGATGTAAATTAATTGACTCCAGTGCCTGGCTGCCTGTACGCATTCTGTATTTTATGCCTGTTAGGCTTGTGGTTTTACAGGAGTTATGCAACAAGTAAAGAAGGATGTCTTGGGTTCTGTGTGCTCAAAAAAGCTGCTCTGGACACTGGTCTCACACCTCGGTGTCTTTGGGAAGGCAGAGCAATATCCCTCACTCAACTAATTAATGCTCAGTGCCTGTTCCTCAATCCCTTTTGAAGGAAGCACTCCTTAAAGTTCTCTCTTCTTTTCTAAAAATCATTTCTAGATGAAAACTTTACCAAAGTGGAAAAATGCTTAGCTCTAACTTGGTGTTTGGGTGTCAGAACCAAACCTTGTACCTGTGGGCTCTGGTTTGGCTTTGCTCTGTCTCTGTTATTGAAATTCCAAAAATAAGTTCCAGCAATGCCATTCACTGAGAAAAGGACAACAGGTAACTCAGGTGTGGATGTACCTGTGCAGTCACTCATCACTGCAGCAAATACTGCTCCAGTAACTGAAGAAGGATGTGGATGTGAGAATTACACAACATTGACTTTAAAGGATCCCATTCTAGAGCAGAACTGTAATTAAAAAAAGAAGAGGGTGACCACAAAACATCACACAGGGAAAGCTTTTATTGTACATAGAAATTGCCATTGTTTTTTCCATCGTTTTATGACCATTTTGGAAATTGTTTTATTTATTGATTAAATTAATATAAAATCCAAGAATGCTTCTAGGCTGCAACAGATTTAAGAAATCTGAGAAGTATGCAAACAATTCAGGTAAATAATGAGAGAATCTCCATGTGCATCACAACAACAGACAAATGTTAACCAATTTCCTTGGGGATTTGTTAACATTGAAGCAGAGATGATGAGATGCATCTGGGCATTGTAAATATTTAAATAGCAAAAAAGGCAGATTTTAATACTTGGCATAAGAATTTATTTACCTGTACCATATTGCTGGTGTAGAGGCTGGAGATTTGGGAGCATGGAAGCTTTAACTGAACAATGTTCTAAATAGGGAGAAACTGTTTCCTATATGCAAGAACTTTTTTTGTTCCAAGGACAGAAGGTGGTTTTCTTAAGTCTTCAGAACATGTAAATCCTCAAGTTTTGGATTGAGTTGGCTGAAGTGGTACATTTATCATGGAATCTTAGAATGGTTTGGGTTGGAAGGGACCTAAAATATTGTCTTGTTTCATCCCCCTGCCATTGGCAGGGACACCTTCCACTGCCCCAGGCTGCTCCAAGCCCCATCCAGCCTGGCCTTGGAACTTCCAGGGATCCAGGGGCAGCCACAGCTGCTCTGGGCATCTGTGCCAGGGCCCCAGCACTTTCACAGAGAAGAATTCCTTCCCACTATCCCATCTCACCCTGGCCTCTGGCAGTGGAGAGCCTTAACACACTTTTAATGATTGCATTTTCTAACAGAAGTGTTTCAGGACTGAAAACCAGAATAGTTTGGTTTGGAAAATATCATGACGGGACAGTATTCCTGATCCAGTTATTGCTCTCTGAAAATGCACCAGTGTGCATTTGTACTTTTAAACAAGGTCCTCAGGGAAGGTGTGATGGAGTCACCCAAAGTCCTTTTGTCTTCTTCCTATTGGGTTCAGCTTCCAACTTCCGAAAATAGGAGTGAGAGAGAGGGGCTCTCACCTGAGGATCTCCCTGGAGATCATCCAGGGGGCAGTTACTCAGGTTTATTCCTTGCTTGCAGTAGGAAAATGCTGAGACTGAGATTGACTCTGTTTGTGATTAAGCCAGCTCAGTGTTTCTGCCAGATGGTGTCCTTCTAAGCCAGGGAGTGGAAACACCTGGAAAACAAATGGGGCAACTGAAAAGAGCAGAGCTTCCATGGCAGGGCTTCCATGGGCTGAAGCCATGGGCAGGGGGTGCATGAAGTTTTTTTTTAAAGGGTTCCACTTCTTGCTGTCATCTGTAGCACTAAAAGGAAATGGGATTCTCCTTCCACTTAGATATAAAACCAGTCATGGTGCAACTGAAGCCAGTAATTCCCCAGTGTATGGAAACTTCCAGAAGCCTTCATATGATGGTCTGTTCAAACACTCGAGTGAGAGGCACCAACATCCAGGCTCTTAAGGCTTTGGTGTTCCAGCGACTTGCCACTCTCCTTTTTTAAGGGATTCTGGCTGACTAGAGGCTGAGGAGTCATTGATGATGATCCAAAATATTCCTTGTTCCCAGTAATTCTGAAAAGTTCAGCTATCAGCAAAGAAACAACTGATACTGTGAGTGCTATTGGGAGAAGAATGGGCCATGTCCTGACAGAAGCATCCTGTCTGGAAAAATCCTTTGAAAATGTGGCAGCTGGCAAACATCTTCCAGTGGAAGACCCCATGAGATGTGGCTGCAGAATTTCAGCCTCCAAACTGCTACAGACTCCCAGGAACAGCATTTGCACAATGTCTCACTGGGGAAAATCAATACTCAGGTGTTCTCTGGTTCTCCAGCATCATTGCTCCTGAGTTTGCCTTTTGCTGAAGATGTTGTTTCTCCTGGTCTAACCCTCAAGTAGAGATGGTTTCCAGATGCCTCATCTTTAACTTGATAAAAAAAAAAAAAATAGAGAAACATTGCAAGGAAAATGTCATGTTAATGCTAAATGCACAACTTCAAATTAACTGGTACCATACGTGCAGATTGCTGATTCATATTCCTTCTGTCCCTGACAATCATTTATGTGGGGAATGTGAATCAAGTCCAGCTAAATGGGAAAGCTTTCCCACTTCAGGGAATTACAGAGAGATCATCAATATTGGCCTCTGCATGATAATCAATATTGGCCTGTGCAGATCTAAAGACATTATGTGGCAGCATCTAAATTTTCTGCCATGATGTGATCTGACATGGAGTGAATGTGGACCTGCTAGTACTGAACCAAGTCCAGAACCGCTGTTAAATGTGGGTCTCTGTAAAATATTTCCCTGAAAGCCCATTTTTCCAGCTCAGCCAGCGAGCTGACACTTTCATCAGCCTTCAAATGTCTGCTTGTCTCCTGGCTCTAAGCCCTGGGGAGGAATGAATCTGTCAGGATGCTTTGTTTCCAACTGAGGTGGATACTGGAGGCCATAGCAAAGGATGGAAACATTTCCTGTACGAGCTCAGGAGCAATTACTTTACTTCCTGTACGTTTACCTGAGCCCCACTGAATCCAGGACAAATGAAATTGGGCAATGAGCTGTGAGACTGCAGCTCCTGAGCTTGCTGTGAGCTCCAGCTCAGCACCCTGCACCCTCTGTGCTGCTTTCTGTGGGTAATCTTCCCCTCAGGGATTGCAGCAGGTGGTTCCTGCTTGAAGGAAACCACAATTAGGGTCATCTTTCAAGCTTCCAGAAAGACCTTCCATTGGTTTCTGAGATTTACAGATGCTGGGTTCTGTTGAGTGGTAAGTTTTTGATAAGTTAAGGAAAATTTAAAGAACAGCCTCATAAGGCTGTCTCTCAGATATCACAGAAGCCGAGAAAAGCACTGAATGAAGACAGAGAGACTGAGTTATTCCTAGAGCCATTGCAGATCCTTTTTTTTCCATTTTTTATGAAACTGGTCTATATTTGAAGAAATAGGGAGTCTGTCACATATTTCAAAATGTAAATGGCACAAAAGGAAGGTCTAGAAGAGTTCTGAATTTATAGAGATAGAATACATTAAAATTTATCCCAAATACAGAAGTAAAATTTGTGCGTTAAAATCACTTTGTGGTGACGCATTTCAGTATCAGGTGTCTTTTCTGAATGTCTTTCAACCTGTCTTGCATTCCTGTGCCCATTTTGCTTTGAATTCCTGAGTTCTTAGAGGGGTTTTCCTAGAAGGAGTAATCATATTGATGGATGGCTTTCCTCCCAACCTGCCTTAATCTCCCTCTCTGTGTTTATGCCCCATGGCTCTGAACAGATGGTCAAGCACTGAAAGACCTTTAAATGTAAAGGGTTTATGATCTTACTTCAGTTAAGTGTGTAGGGACATTTTCTTGTACGAGTTGGTGATTGGAGACAAGGTGACCTTAGAGCACCATTTATAGTCTTAAAATCTTCATTTTATGCTGACATTTTATAACAGCTTTGCAAGGAAAAGAATTCAACAGCTCCAATCATAAAGCCTGTTCTCACTTAATTAAAATAATTGCATCATTTTTTCCCAGCTGAGCTCAAGAGAACTAAACATCATGGCAGGAGGCAGAGTAATTGTCATTAAATTAGTGCTGTTGTTGCTAATGGGTCCCCATTCCACAAACACTCCTTCAA